TCAGTCTCTGTGTGTGTGTATATTATAACATTTAGTAATACTAATACTTTTAATATAATGTATGTTATAAATTATGTGGGTGGTTGGCTGGTGCTCTGGTGTGGTTTGCTTCTTCTTTCCTATCAAACATCTATCATCTTTATCTCCCCTCCTCCTTTTTCATGTTTGTTACTCTCTTGTAACACCTCTAATCTTCGACACTTATATGACCTTATTGTGTTGCAAGTGCCGTAAAACACTTAGTAAAATTAAATCAGAATCTTTTCTTGACGTTCAGATCATGGAGATGAAGCACAAATACATGTACATGGTCACCATGGAGTTCCTCAAGTTCTGCAAATGCTCCGACTTCACCGCTGAGCTCGAGAGATACTTCATGCACGATGTGAGTATTCACAATTGGCCTACGTGTACATAATACATGTAATGATAACAACCAAATTAAATAATAAATAACATCTGTATAGAGCAAACCCCTGCTCAACAGCAAACTTTATACGCGTTACATTATATTACTACCCCAGCAGACCATAGATCGCTCAGAAACATTCTCAGCTTCCCGGAATAATATAATATACATGGAATTGATTTTAGTTACAAAAAAATATATCATTACTATTATCATTACTTTTTGGAGATCAATTGTTGACACCAGTGAAGCTTTCGGTGGAGAAATGGGGGGTGTGGAGGTGAGGAGAGGTTATAAATTATGCTCCACTCCGAGGCAGTGGTGGTTTCTTTGATGATCTTTTGAGTTACATTTGCCTTTCACATCTTCAGTTATCTCTCATTTTTTTCTCTCTCTCGCTTCTCTCTCTCTCGCTTCTCTCTCTCTCTCTCTCTCTCTCTCTCTCTCTCTCTTTCTCTCTCCATCTCTCTCTCTACTCCCCCCTCCTCTCTCTCTCTTCCTTCTCTCTCTCTCTTCCTTCTCTCTCTTTCTTCTCCCATCTCCCCCCGGTCTCTCTCAGTCCCATATTAGCTATTTCAATCTGTTTGACTCTCTTTTAATTTTTCAATAGAGAAAAGGTTCAATATTGATTCAGTGAGCTTCTCTTAAACTAAAAATGTACATTTACCCTGTAGCTTGTAAAATTAGTTTCTTGTCATGCAAACAAACAAGAGTCATTTTATCGCTTGCGACTGAGGTAGGACCTCGTGTCATTAAAAACAAAAACGAATAAAAACCAACTGATGTTTTTGTTGTTGTTTTTCCTCTCCAGGGTGTTTCCTACACCAGCGATGAGTGGGATCTGGATGACCTTGATGGCATTGACAGCACCGACCCCATCGCTGTTGCTCAGGCTTTGGCCAACAGGTGAGTTATAATAATAATAATAATAATAATAAAAATAATAATAACAATAATAATAATAACAATAATGAAGATCATTTCTATAGCGCCCACTCCCGTGTAAATAAAAATAATATTATGACGTTGTTAGTCACGTGACAGCATCATTTTCAGATCTGATATTCTTTGGTCTTGGGTAGGTTAATCAGTTTTGGGTTCCATCT